AGTGTTTCTTATAGAGAGGGTTTCTTCAAGGGAGGTTCGAGTAAAAATGACTAATTTTTAATTAATTTTTGAAAGACTTTATTAATAATAGCAATTATTGAAAACTAGTTTACAGATCCCGATCGCGTGCCCGCCCCCTAACCCCCCCCACTTTGCCCTTACCTAACCTAACCAAACATAATATAATATAACTAACCCGTTAAGGAGGCGTGGAGGCGGGGCGATGATACTGTAATTGCTATTTAATAATGTTTATTCAACAATTAAACCCGTGCGCGCGCTTTCAATTTCCCGTTTTTCACTTTAAAAAACTAAATAAAATTAAATTAATTGTTGAGGCAGGGCGAGCTAATTTGCATATTTAATTGTTTGACGGGTGTTTACAGACAAAAATGGATTATTATATTAATAAGAAAAGTACAACAAATGATTTGAGATTACTTTTGAGGGACAATATAATTATGGGATTTTTCTGAATGAAATCTCATGGCTTGACGGGAGGCAAACTTGCGCTCACAAATACCATTAGGCCATTCGCACCGATACGGTCGCTCTCCCGTGTGCTTAAGTCTATGAGCCTTCAAATGCGTTGATTGACGGAAAGACCAGTTGCAGGCATTGCCATCACTATTAACCCAATCGCATCTGTAATACACAAATCACTTAATATAACGCATGCATACTGAAAGAGTCATACTTCCAGGGCTTCTCTCCCGTATGTCTATAGTTATGATGTCTTAAACCGTTTTTATTAGATGTCCGAAACTCACATCCGGGCCAATCACACCTATAATTCATTGTTAATCATTATTAAGTTAAATGTAATATAATTTAAACGAAAACTATACACACTTGAAGGGCTTTTCTCCCGTATGAACCTTCATATGTCTTTGAAGTCTACAAAAAATAAACAATGAAAACAATGATATATTAAATGGAAGAGTGTTTGTGTGAACTCACAGATTGTTACGACAGGACTCGTAATGACAGTCTGGAAAATCACATTTGAATTTCTTTTCATTTGTATGTAAACTCATATGCATTTCGTAATT